TCTTTAGATGAAGGTAGACTAAGAGCAATTTTTCTTTTCCCTTTTTTTCAGGCTCTAAGTAAAATCAATCTGATCCGGTCAATAGTGAACTGGGTGGTCAATTTTATCACAGACTATGTGGCTGGCTGGATCATAGAAAGGGGAGGCTGGGTAAGTTAACAGTGGAGAATTTATCCAGTAAAGGAAAAAGGAAAATTGTGATGGAAAACTTTCATTTCATGCTGAAATGAAGTAAAACGATACACAGGATGTACTGTGTGCCCTATTATGAAATTATGATTACTTGTTATTTGCCAACCTTCTTAAACTGTAACAAGAGATAGAACAGTTGATGCAGGTGTGACACAAGTTACTGTGGTCTCTTAGGGGGAAATTGATGGCTATACATAGTAACTGAACAATTGTTGCTTTGCAAATGATACTGTTTTATAATATGTATATTTTAGAATTTATTTAAATCAGTTACTTCAGGAGAAATAATGTTGTAGATCTACTATGCATGTATACTCTAAAATTTCAAGATGAGGGTGTTGAATATTTTGTTTTTATTTTTTACCCATAGGATGCTATCGTGGAATACTTTGGGACTCCTCAGAATCAGTTTTATGGAATAGCTTTCCTGGGAGTGGGAGTGTGTGTTGGTCTGTACCTCTGGAAGCAGTTTAAATAAACAAGAAAGATTATTAGCAGACCAAACTTTATAACAATAATTTGTTTGTTAAAGTACATGTATTAAGCATACCATTTGTTTTCTTTTTCTGTACAAAAACTGATGTAATCAATGGAAAAATAATGAAAATGATAATTTTTAGCTAATTCAGTCATAATAGATGCACATGTTGAGAGAACTGTCATTTACAATATTTGTATGTCTGCCTTTTAAACATTTATTTCAAGAGCATGCACAATAAAGATAAAATTTCATGTTTTTTGACAAAAGTAAATGTTACAACATGTTAAGAGATTTTTATTCATCTCAGGATGCATGCTTTAACACTTAATTTTCATTTGAAATTTTGCAGTTTATAATTATTGGGGTTGTTCTATTTCAAAAACTGTTTGCTACTTACAAAGAGTTCAACGAGATTTCTACTTGCCAGGTCCACTAACATGACTCTCTTTCAGTGGAAGGAAATTTTGTCAATGTAATTGACATGATACATGTTAATTGACTTAGTCACTTCATTGTTTGTGTCATATTAGCTAATTGGATTTCACTTTCAAGATCATGTTTCACTAACTGCTGAAAATAATTCTAAGAAATGTCTGAAAGACATAGTATAGTATGTAGAACTCGGCATTATTTTGTCATATAAAGCACAATACTGAGTGATTTTATAAGTGCTACGATATTGTTTTCATGCAATGTCTTCATATGTTGTTTTTTCATTTATGTCATTACTTAGTTTATTTTCTTGCATTTGTGGATTGTAAAGTCTTAATTTTATTTATTTTGTGTTTAAATGTACTTGTGAAATATATACTACAAAAAACAAAGGTTTTTTTTATTTCTTGGACATAGTTTTTTCTTGTTTGTTTGATTTTTTTCTTCAAATTTTCATAGAGATAATATTATCAACTTTTGTTAAGAAGAATGTACTTTTCAAAAACAGTTGTTATGTGCAACCAGATTTCATATTACAGACATAAATCTTGAAATTAAATTAATTTTTTTTATAATAAAACTTTTAAAAATTAAAAGAAATAAGCATAGAAACATTTCAGAATTGTAAATGTTTGTAAAATAGCTGGAATAATTTGTGAAAGTATTTCATTAAAATGTAGCAATAATCTCAATTAAACATTATGTTCATAGGTACTTGGTATTTTAATTCTACAAAGTATCTTTTCATTGATAAAAATATCACCATACTTTAATGATAACACTTATTATTATAATTATAGGGTGTATTTTTAACAGCAAAGAGATAGGTTTAAAACATCACTTGCCTGTGATTATATAGTAAATATATATATATGACATTGTAATGTGAATACATCAAATGATTGTGCAATGTCTTTAATGCTCAATATTTAAGTACAGAGTGATATCATAACCTGTTTGTTTACTCAGTGGAGCTGCAGTAATTATGGAATGTAAGGCGGGCATTGGGTCATCAGATGTGATATAATGCTATATTCATACAATCTTTTTTCTTGGTATTAACTTTTTTTAATCATGATGTTGTATGAGAGTATATTCCTGTATCTACAGCCATTCTTGTGAGAGTATTTCATCAGCTGTTCTTGTTAAAGGAAGAGTATACTAGTTCATTATGTACCGAAGACCTACATAATTATGAATATCTGAGGCGTGTGCATGTTGTAATTACGTGTAAATTACAAATGTTTGTGTAATAAAATATTTATAGACATTTTCTGTTTTTGTATTTAGTGTAGTCCCATGTAATTTTTTTCAGGTCATCAAAAATGTGAAGGTGAAATATGGAGATAATGAACAGTATTCAAGCTCAGAAGTTCATTGACGCAATTTGGAGCGGAGCAAACACGGACAAAATACAGTATTGAATCACATGAATCCAATAAATCGTTAAATATCCAGTCTCCTGGAATCACTGGTCCAGAGCTAAATGATCAGGTGCCCAGGAGGAGTAAGTATTCCCTGTCAACTGATTACACTCGCTTTAAGCCCTATATATTTATCGGGTGTAAAAAGGAATTAATTGGTAGTCAAAGACGGCCTCTGAATCAGTGAAAAACTGATAGTTTTTCACAGTTCAACTCTATGAGAAGTATTTGCAAATATGACCATTATAGCGACCCAAGAGTTCGAGAATTACGATCATTTTTTTCACTTGAATGTATATTGTAGAAAACTAGGTCCTTGTCATAGATATTAATGGTTATCATATAATCTATAGTATTAAAGGGTAAGAGAAGAAAAAAGATGGAAACAGGGAGAAGAGGCCCTTAGTAACCCAAAGGAAAAGCGGTTTTTATTTTGACAATGTGCACTACACAGAAAACAAAATTGTTTCAGGTTTATACCTTATTCAGGTATCCCTTTTAATAGTCGAGAAAGAGCTAGGTTCACTTTATACATAAAATGGCTCTTTACTTATATCAATTAATTAACTCTCATCCTATTTCCCATTTCATATATCAAAATAAAGTAGACACTTAGTGCTTTCATTTCCTATAATAAAATTTCTTTTTGAGAATATAGATATTGGAAAACAGGCTTTGAGAAATTGCAATGTTCTTGAAATTTGCAGAAAACATGCGTATTTGACTACCTTCAAGAAAGAATTAAAATATGAGCACAGCCCATGATCCAAAAAATAAAACATGTTTTTGATCTTCAAAAATAGATCTTTCATTATGTATTTACAAATTTTGGATCAGAGGTTGTGCTCTATATGAAATATTGAAAAAATACCTCAACTTTAGGCCATTTTCAAAGAAATTTACAGGCTATTAGGAAAATGACGCATTTTATGACGTCATAATAAATTGACTAGAGGGAAAATTACGTCATGATTAATAGATACATGGTCACTAACACTCCAAGTGATAGATACTGCATTTGCAACCTAAACTGAGCGGTTTTGATTTTTCAAAAATTCTCAGGGCCAAATAAGGCCCAAAGTGGCTTTTGCTCTTGCTTAAGATAGTGTCTTCAAAACTGCAATTGCTTTTGACCAGCCTGGAGGAGATGTAAAGTGGGGCTTTCTGTTCAAACAGCATTAAAAGCTCAAATTAAGAGGCCAACATTTCAACAATATGTACTGCTTTTATTTGTAGATTTTACAGTTTCTGCAAATCTTTTCTGCATATTAGTGTGTACTAAACTTTCTCACTGGGAATGGTAACGCATATCAGACACATTTCTGCGAAACATTCTCCAGTTCTTCTGGAATGTGTTCAGGTCTAAAATAATAACCCCAGTGAACATCAGCAACAGAATAAACATGGCGACTGCCCCGATCGCTTGGCCCCCGGGAGCTTCTTTTGTACTATGTGTGCCAGTTTTCTTCTTCTTGACTTTCAAACTCTTCAGTACCTCCTCAAACCGTTGTTTATCATACAAATCTCCTTGAGGTGTGTTGTTACTTGGTTTTGAACTGGCTTCTCCGCCCAATATGGAAACTGTTGACATGGTATTTGACGCAGAGGTTGCCAGGGTATCCTCACTTGCCCATCTCTGGGTGACAGTGGTAGAGTATCCGGGCATCGATTTACTACTCAAATGGCTTGAATATGGTGGATCGTCAGCTATTTAGAAATCGTGAAATATACATGTAGTATATACACATAACGAACACACCTCACGAGTTCATTGAAAAGAGTACAAAGCAGGATCGAGCAAATCAAAAACGGACCTGTAAAACATAAGAAGTGTAATCATGTGCCATGGATCGGAGGAGTAAGCATCACATGTCGACCGGTCCTACCCATCATGTGCTCATTATCAAAATCAGGCAAAGGGAAAAACTCCTAGTCAATTCAGTACGTAAATAATGGTCTAACCATCATATGAAAAACGTCAGTCAGCATTCGACATATTTGTTGATGAGGTCATTGTATCGATAGAGCACTTTCGAGATTGATGATATCCTTAACTGAGTTAATTCATCAACTTGTTTTTCAAATCAAAGATTAGCATTTTGAAAAATTGTTTTTATGCAGAGCATATTTTGTGTAGCGATTTAACTGGAGATATCAGCCCTTATTTGCAGGTGATAAGGGTTGATTGCTACGTAAATAATGTAGTTGATGACATAGAAGTAGGATATCTTTTATTTTAAGTTGACTTGGATATCGACTCGACATATAAATGGAAGAAACTATTTGTTAATAGATAATATGCTGTTGATCTATAACTAAATGTCGAGTTGTGAGATACTTTAAGAACAAAGCTTTGTGATAAACGTTACGACTTAACTTTTCAATAGCTAACTCTTTTACATAATTATGCGGAGACAAATAAAACAAGAATATCAACAGTTTCGTTTATTAAGTTTCGTAAGTTCTAAGGTCGATACAATGATCTTATCAGAAAATACAATCTATCATTAACTGAAAAAGTCAAATGCTGAATGACGTTTTTCATTGTAATTGTTACACCATTATTTAAACATTGAATTATCGACGGATTTTTCTGATTTTTCCCCGGTCAGGAAAAGCAGCGGATTTGACTGGTTTGGCAGGGGATGCTCACTCCTACATGGCACCTGATACCACTTCTGATGTTTTAGATGTCCGTGTTTGTTCTGCTCGAAACATTTGTAGTGTTTAATGAACTTTAGAGCTAAAATACTGTTCGTTACCTCCATATACTAGTACTTCAGGAAATTAAATGTACAGTATGTAAACGTTCATTTGAGAATTGTAAACACCTGCAACAATCTTACTGTTTGTAAATATCACAGTCATTTATATGATCATGTCAGAAAAAGGCATTTTACACAAAGAAATAATTTTTCGAAGTCTGTTTTAGGCAAAAAGGGAAAACACTTTTGGATACCCAACGGTGTGGTGGACCTTTATACCTGTTACCTGCCAACTGACATCTCTAAACACATCATATGTACTATATGAGACTGACTGTTGAAAAACAATGATCAAATAGAGTCTATTCTTCAATATTCTACCTGGCAATGAATTGTACTTGTAAACCAGTTTACTGTGTTGTTCTATAGGGTTCGTGCTATGAATACATGATTAAATCTCGGGGACCGACCTTCACGTTTACAGATGAAGTACAAATTGTTGTCACATGTTCCCTCGTACCAGTCACTGCTGATGTAAATACACGTGTCTGGAATAAAATAGGGGTGGGATTAGCATTAAATTCAAAACATTACAAGAAAGATCTAGTACTTCTACAACTAATCGGTTTGATACAATTACCGGAAATTCATTATAGTATAGAACGTATAATACATGTATATAGTAAAAATTGCCATCTTTCAGTTAATTAAAGGTGAACAATTTTATATAAGATAATAATTGACAAAAAATAAAAACAATTTAAGTTGCATTAACCCATATGGCGTAAACACAATAGTACCCGAAAATATTTTACTCGGAAGAAAAGATCTTGGAACAAGGGCATGTGGACACGTCACACATTTACAGAACTGACAAACACCATAAGCTTATTTGAAACAATAAATCTATCACGACTCAGATAGTATATTGAACGTACAGTAGAAAATGTAATGAACCAAATGTTCCAATAAAATTCAGTAGAAAGTATTGTGATAGGACTAATCGTACCTGGGTTTCTGGCAGAATGGTAGCCGCCCGGTCTTGGTAAGAAGTCGACAGGGGACCCGTCCACCCAGCTCTTCTCCTTCAGGAATCTTCTCATACCAATCCATACCGGCATCCCCACCGACTCCGTCCTGTAAGACACAATAATTATTGTATTTAAGAAATTAGATTTAGGAATCTTCTCATACCAATCCACACAGGCATCCCCACCGACTCCGTCTTGTAAGACACAATAATTATTGTACCCAAACCTAAGTGTAGTTGTATCTTTTTACCAGATTTGTAGGTTAAGGTCCTGCTTGAAAAACGTATAGAAGGTTAACATGGGTATAATAATGTCTAATAAAAACCTATACGCAACCACATTGAATTTTTATCGAAACACCTTACACTGAAGTTACAGTTATTGTAGCAATCCGTTTTACTGTGAATTCTGACCATTTCCATATCCATCTTACTCTTGTCCTTCTACTTTGTGCATTGCGACATCCTTACACAATTTTTATCTCCCAGTGCATGTCGAATTAAGAAAGATTTCACTGTTTCCCTGTATCACACTCTTTGTTTTAATTTCTGTACTTAAAAGTTAAAAAATTTCAAACGTTGTCAGAATTATCACATTAACAATGAGTGAAAGGGCATTCAAATAAATTCCTTACCTGATTTTTTCCACAAATTCTTTTTCCTCCTCACTGTGGATGCTGGCCACAGTTGAGTTGTTCTCCTTGCATCTGATCACCGCTTCGTCGAAGCTTATCCCACCATATTCCGTGAAAAGAGAGTAACAAAATGTTTCCCGACACACCCATCGACCGTCTGACGTGGACAAAACTGATGAAATCAAATCATTATAATGCTAGTCATCTCACCTTACAAAACTTTAGCTCATAAATTTCAAAGTCATTAATTATTCTCAAATACATTTGTTCATTACTACACTTCATAATTTACGATTGATCTGTGGCTTACTAATTCTTAACCATACATGTACATGTGTTATTTCTGTAGAATGAAAGATATGGAGAAATGAACAGTATTCCCGATCAAAAGTCCATAAAACAATACAAAATAGGAGCAGAGGAAACACGGAACTCCAAAACATCAGAGGTGGGATCATGTGCCATGGAGGAGTGAACATCCCCTGCCGACCCGTCACAACCGCCGTGAGCTCCTTGTCATGATCGGGGAATAACGGAAAACCCGTTGTAAATTCCGTGTAAAAATAATGGACTAACAATTAGTATGAAAAACGTCCGTCAGCATTTGACTCAATGATAAATTGTATTTGCCGACAAGGTCTGTTGCAACCACTATTGAAATAACGTCCACTACTGAAATAATTATTTCAATATAGTGGTTGATAGTGCATTTCAACAACAAACATAGTATGCAACCACTATTGAAGTACGACCACTATTGAAATAATTATTTCAATAGTGGTTGAGAGTGCATTTCAATAACAAACAAAGTATGCAACCACTATTGAAATACGACCACTATTGAAATTATTATTTCAATAGTGGTTGAGAGTGCATTTCAATAACAAACATAGTATGCAACCATTATTTAAATACGAACACTATTGATTTAATTATTTCAATAGTGGTTGAGAGCAACTATCAAAGTAATTATTTCAATCTTTTTTTAAATCAAAATTTTACTACTATTGAACACTTTATTTCAAATGTGAACATTATTTCAATAGTGATTGCAACCGATGTTTGTATTGAGCTGCACTCCAAACCACTATTGAATAATTATTTCAATCGTGCTTGTATTTCAAAAGTGGTTGCGACCTATGTTTGGTATTGAAATGCACTCTCAACCACTATTGAAATAATTATTTCAATAGTGGTCGTTACTTCAATAGTGGTTGCAACAAAGGTCATTGTATCGACCATAGAACTTACGAAATGATGACTTTAAACGAGACTGCTGAAATTCTTTGTTTCATCAACTTTTTTGTCAATAATTTACCTCGTTGTAGAAATTATTCATACATAGAACATGTTCAAGATTGCAAATCTAATCAACTGAGATATGCAAACTCCGCAGGCTGGTGATGAAGGTATATTGCGTCATGAGTAAGGGAAGTTGACGATAGAAAAGTTAAAGTCATCAGGTCTATCTTAGAGCTTGGTTGTTAGATTACCATTAACGTCTTTTTCAAGTAAAAAATTTAAATATGAAACAGATATGTCAGACTCTGTGGTTTCCTTTATCTCAAGCTCACCAGGATATATCGTATCGACATAAGAATTGAAATAACCATTGTTAAGGATATCTGATCCTCAGCCAGGACGGATAACTCCAAAAATTAATATTTGATTTAAAAAGTATCAATATGAGACTTGAAAATGAAAATTTTTCATGCAATAATTTCTATTTTATTCATTTTTATATTATTCAAGGCTTATGGAAAAGGTCTTATAAAAAGTTGACATTTGTATCCCATAAAAGGGAAAAAAATATAATATATAAATACAGTTTTAGAGAAGTGAGATTTTCTTTAATCAAGCCTTATATGCCAGTGCTTATTTGCATGATATTAAATAAGAAGTGATTTGTAGTGTCTTGCAATGATAGCAAAAGCCGTTTACACTATGTATTATGAAATACATGAAGGAAACAGAAAACATACAATACGAAATAAATATAAAAATCAAGACAATTTTTCTGAATGCCTGGATACCTATTGTTTTTTAACCTAAAATATATTTGTTGATCAAATTGC